CCGTCATTAGTTGTCATGGTGTGTATACACAATATGTGGACTTGACCAAAGCTATCCGTCATCACTTATCAACACTCGATGGTAGCAGTTATCAACTGGTTACAAGTGGTAACGGACACCTTTACCACACCTTTCGTCAAGTCATCACTAAACGACGTCACACCAACTCAGTGGGCGTAACGTCTAAAGTTCCCACCAATCACATGACAGTTCAAAGAACCGCGACTGCGCAGATCAATGCGTCTCAATCAACATATGTCCATTAGTGACTTTGTTGACAATGTTGCCGTTCGAAGCCTCTTTGGTGTTTAAAAGCTATCAAAACATATAAAAAGAGACAACTATCAATTGACACGCTTGCTGAGGTAATCTTTTGAACTCCATTTGGAACATCGGAAAGAATTTTCATTCGTTATGAATTGTCCTTTTTGTCACCGATAAACCTATTAAGAATATCAGCGAGTAGAAAGGTATCGTAAAGTGACTTTGTTACCATTGTTGCTTTTTGTTTATTGCAAACAACTTCGACCAATCTCACTGCGAGTTTCAACAAACACTTTATACTGCTTAGTAAATTTCCTAAATCAACTTTAACAAGGCTAAAAATATGAGTACTTAAGCGTGCTATGTCCTTGTACTCTACTCGTTCGGTGTAACTTCACAAAAAAGAAGCTAGGTTGTACACTTGCGGCCGATCTATTCACGCTGTCATTAGAGATACCGTTTTAGGCCCTTACTTTAATAAAGAGAAACAATTTTGATTCAGCGCTTTAACAGCAACTTGAAAGGCAAGGTGTCTAATAACATTAAGTGTATACATTTTAGTCTAAACAACTATTTCAGTCGTTTTTTTCTCATAAACTAATTCAAGTTTTCACGGAAATTGTTTGAACTGAAGGGAAGAAGATGATGGAATTTTCGATAGATCAGTCTCCGATCGACGTGCAGACATTGAACATTCTTCGAGGACCCTTAACAGAGAAGGGATCCCGAAAACCAAAATGTGCTCGGTGCCGGAACCACGGTGTTATATCCTGGCTAAAGGGACATAAACGTCATTGTCGATTCAGGGACTGTAGATGTCCGAAATGCAACCTCATAGCAGAGAGACAGCGAGTGATGGCGGCGCAGGTTGCTCTGAAGCGGCAACAGGCTGCTGAAGATGCCATAGCACTCGGGCTTAGAGCTTGCTCACCAGGAGGACAATTTGTGATGGCGACAGGACCTGGGGTCTACTCGGAGAATGAAGCCAAGAGAAGAAAGTATGAAAACGATGATGACGATGAACTAGATTACGAAGAAGGTGCGTATTGCTTATATAGGCCTATATATATATATATATATATATATACTTGATATCTATCTATATATATATATATATTCTGCAACATGATTGAAGGGTCTGGGTGGGTTGTAGATTCGTGGAGCTGTAGCTAGTTATTAACATGCTTGCCTTTTAATCCTTTGGTCCTGTTCAAACCCTACAATGTTGGACCTGTTTGGTGCTTGCTTAAGGTCCTTGTATCCCTTGGGTGCTGATCAATTCCTGTCGACAATTTTCAGTCCTTAGAAAATATTCTCCAAGGAAAAGAACGTCAAGACTAAAAAACCTCATGTCGTATATTTTTGTCTTGTGAAAGCGATTACGGTAGGTTACTACAGACAGTGATTATTTTCAAAATTGACTATCTTTTACCACTGTTCTTATATAATCTAATAATAAAAACAATTTTTTTTTTAATGTTTAGAAAAAGTTATCTAGAGGATAGATACTTCAATTGGTTTGATGTCATACATTACAGTATCATTTCATAAGATTATCTTAGGTGGGTCAGAGAGGACGACACATCAACGCAATCTTATCAAGTTTACTTACATAGCATTGATAGAAAACAAACTCTTAAATCTATGTTTGCTAAAATGACATGATGAATTCAATTTCGATATGCAAATATCACAATATTCTACGTGTGAAATGACGCGCAATTTTTATATGAGTCGTGATTATTACAGACAAATAATTTTTAAATTAATCATTTGTGATTTTTGTTTAATAATTTATTTCACACCATTCAAGAGCAGTATACATTATATATTGTACATTATTATAATTGTGGTAGATTTCAAACGCGAAATATAATTATTTATGAGAAGGGTCATTGAGTGATCGAAATGTAGAGACTTAATTATAACCCTTACATACTTGATTCAACGAAAATGGAAATTTCAATTTAATAACATTAATATTAATATTTTAAATTGTCAGTAATACTAATAATTACACTATTACTCGTTATTAAATCATATTCATTATTAATACATTAACATTATGCATTATATTTCAGTTGAAGTTGCGAATTAATTGTTTTGTCATACTTCCAACCAATATCATGACTTGGTTCGTTCGTTCGTTCCGCAGAATCCATAGTCATAGGAGCTACAGGGTCTTAATGTGGCTTCCTTTAGCGAATAATCCCGAATAATGAATTCTAAGCCATGACTTGGTAAATGTAGGCCATAAGGTATATCTAGGCTTGTATTAGCTGCAGGGAGATTAAGATAAACATTGTTTTGAAAACAGAACTCATCAATTATTCATTGCTGAACATTATATAAAAATTAAATATGAAAAATAAGAATGTAAAATCGCATCAACCCTTCAATCGGTAAGTACTCATTAACCACACAGATAACCAGACTGCTATCACTGGGTTGAAGTAAAATGTAAATTGATTTCTTCCGAAATTATTGAAACTAAGCAGACAGACCATTATTAAAAAATAGCCTACTACATTAAGAGATCGGGAGGATCATTAACGGGTTTTTTTTTCATATAGTTGAACAATGCAATATTTAATATACAGATTACATTTTACATTATTAGAGCAATTTATCGATAGGCCTGTAAATGTACATCTTATATCAGTAGTAAATTTAACCACATATAGAATCAATGTTGCCAGGAACGTGTTTTTTTTTTTCAAACAATTAAATAGGATTTTACATAATTTTCCCTTTATTCAAGCACTGTTTCTACCATTATTCAATTATTTATATTTCAATTAAATTCAATCTTTATTATCAAATACAGTAAATCCGGTCGTTTGTTCACAGATTTAAAAATATTTATATAATTATTGATACAATCCCATACTAAAACACACAGCACTACCATAACATCATAAAATGTAAAATGTGAAGGTAAAAGTTAGAAAGTTAGTATATAACCGGTATATGTATTGCATTAATATAAGCCTAATATGTTTGAAGGTGGCTGTGTAGTAAAAAAACAAACTATTTATAACTAATAAAGTACTACAACACAAATTAAACAGACATTAGTAATTATACAATTATAATCGTAAAGACAAAATTATTTTCAGATTAATCTATCAAAGTTATGTTAGCATCATAATCTATATTGACAATAAGCTAACTGTTGCGATTTCATAATCGGATGTGACTTACAGCATTGATATTTTATTTTTAATATCATTAGGCCAATTATTATCATTACGATTGTTTGTTTTGTTTTCAAATGAATTTCTTCAATGATAATAATATAACAATAATAATTATTATTATAATAAAACACATCGATTATAGAATTAAAATTCAAAGGTACCGGTATCGTATGAACAACAATAGTAAGCCGATAATTCTTACCGAAACCTTGAAAATAATGCAAGAATAGGACTCTAAGCAGGGAAACTGCAGTATTTATTGGAAATAATTTTGAGGTACCGTGATTTTAACAAAATTATTTATAATTGAGGAAGAGATAATGCCAAGGGAAGGAAATTTTGAAAACATCGGTTTGTGGTTTCCTTTATGCATGGATTGTATCAAAAACAGGCAAAAGAAAATTACATTTATTGTATTAAATACATATGCATCTTTATAAACAAGACTGTTATGCCTGTTTAAATTAATCGTGTCGTTGATGTTTCCGTCATCCTCAAACAATAAGGCGTGTACGTGCATTAGATCAGTTGTATACAATTACACCATCGTTAGGGGAGCGTATTAATTAAGTGTCGCTTTTGACGAGGGTTTATTGTCATCTGTGATATACTAATTGCATTTTGTATTGTCTTCTCAAAATATTAAATCAATCAGTCTCAATCATAAATGTGTTTATTAAGTTAAGCTCATCGAATGCCACTACATGGTATCGAGTTTAAGCTTTGGAACGAATGCAACACATAGCGCTCTGTCATTCAGCCTTCTTGTCACAACAACGTTTACGCGGTTAAGCTGGCAAATTAAGTAGATTCTCCGTCAACCAAGGCGCATCGCAGGCTTCATTAAACTACACCTTCATTTAATAAGCAATTAAGATGCTGTACAACAATACGTGCGCGTGCAGCTAACACATTGCAACACATTAACTTTTGTTAACCGTAGTTTTTGTTTTTATTCATAGTATAATTAATGGTTTAAATGATTGACCTACTTTGTATCTTGGTACTATTTCGATGTTGTCCTAAGCTTCTTTACAGTTAAAAGTCCTTGTTCTGCCGTTATATCGCATTCAAAGTTAATTACAGCATCAATGTATAACTCAGGTCTTAGGTTTACTGATGGCACGATTAAATGTGTTAAATTACTAATTATGATAACCATGAGAGCAATTACGCATCCAAATGTCAATCCAATATTATTCTACTTATAATTACTACAGAAAATATGTGTAGGCTTATCAATTTATTTAGCGTGAGCCCTTTTACCAATTGATATAGTGCTTAAAAAAACATCAAAACAAATTCCCTTTGGATAAATCGGAATATTATTGGCATTTTGACATGCTGAGCTACAGATTAAACTCAAACCATTATCATCATCATCATTATCCTCATAAAAAATATCGACAATGTCGCATTAGTCCTACTACAATTATTTATTATTACCAATCTTGCTATCATTCTTATTATTATTATACATTAAGTAATCATGAGAGGTACAACGAGAACTAAATTTAACTACTTGGGAATGCAGCAAATATGCCTGCATATAGCTACAGGCTTCACGAGAGACAATTTCGCATTAGGCCTACTGTCATTATTTATTATTATCGATCTTATTATCATTCTTCTTATTATTAATTATTATTCATTTATCATTTTGATCATGTTGCATTATGTTTGTATGTATTGCTGTCCGGTAATACATTTCACAAAACAACATTCTTCTAAGTTCGCAACGAGATAATAGTTGCGATTTACGGTTAATATTGGAACACTAAAATATAGATGAGTAGGATAAATTGATAACAAATCAAATTTCAATAAATTTATTTGGATATTATTCTGTTCTTGTTAAAAAGATATTTTCAAGTAAAACCTATAAGCCTTAGTTTGTTTTCAACAGGCGTCACACTACGTACCCCTATGTATTCGACCTACACCACACCATGATTCGCAGCACACCGGATTAGATAGTGAAAGGCCAATACACTGACCTACCATAACGGTACATTTTGCTACCTCCTCAGTGACATTATATCAATACATTCGAATATGTAGACAATAACCTAATGTTTATAATGGATAATTTAAATTAAATATAACAATAAACGGTGAATGTAAACTTGGTAGTAGCAATATCAATTTGTAACTGTAAAAACTATCCGTAAATGATTCCTTTGATGAAAACCCTACCTATCTCATTAGCTTACGTTCACCCCATTATCATTCTTTACTATAAAATCATTGGCGTTTAATTCATCAGCTTTATTTGAACATGAAGACGTGGTATAACGAAACAGGTCGCTTGCTGAAGAGTTAAGTAAATTGTATTGGTAAATATCCAATACTTTAAACATTTCACTATTGATCACATTACCACGACTCAATCTCGATTACATGTTCGAAAATACTGCTAATAGAGTTTAAATGGATTTGCAATTATTTAGACCAGCTAGCTATTGAAGTCTCACGTTTTAAAGACAACTTGTTTAGTTTTCGATCACTCTCAGGCTGTGCGTGTTCACACGTTAAAGGTAACACATTGGATGAATCGATCAATGAGGTTCGTTTGACAATCGGTCTACTCGACACAACGTGCTACACGCGTGCTACTGTAGCCCACAAGATTCAATTTTGATTCAGATAATTCAGTTTAAGTCAATAAGCATAGGTGATTTTTCGATGAGCAATTAACATCTGCTTTAGTAACCTCAAAGTACCACTAATGATAAGAATAGACAAGGCTTAGCATATGAAATTCTTGATAAGTAAGTTTGTTTTGGAAAAATAATTTCGATCCAAATGGCTCCCTTGAGCGTTCTAACGGATAGCGTTTCAGAAACGCGTGTGTAAGCGCAGTAAAGAAATCATTTGACGGATAGGGAGACGTAGAATAAACTATCCCATGACCAAATTCAAAATACCCTGCGGCAATTCTTGTATTTATCCCAAACCAGAATAAGGGGTGGGCTATGGAGGGTACAAAAGCTGTATTTATTTTTTCTTAAAATGTAACGTAGGTCTATGCTTTTGCGTATCATTTGTTTAAATACTTTGTGCGACAACTTTCTGCTAGGCTCAAACAAACTACATGCTGGAACAATAAAGATGGTACAGACAAAGCAAGACTCACCGTCGACACATTCGTTTTCACTTCACTGATACTGTAGGCAAGATAACAAACATTATTAATTTAATGCAACTTTAGTAAAATAAATGGATGATCATATTATATGAATGAGACTATTAATTATCAATTAACCATAATCCAAATATTCAGCCATTGTCTCTATTTTTTTATATATTTTATATTTGTTTATAGTAATGTTATATAATATGCCCATTATTTTAAGTTTGTTTATATGATATGATAATGATATAATAGTAGGCCTAATAATTTTTATTTATTTATTCAAAATTGTATTATTAGACTTATTATTTTTATCATGATCGTCATTATTGTGTAGTCTATAAAGTTCAAACACCCTTATTAGTATTAGGCTATATAGGCTAGGCCTAAGACTATTGATTCTTTTTTGTTCAAATACGTATTATGGATTTATCTTGATTGAAATATTCTCAAAGCATTCCGACAGATAAATCATTAATATAGCGATAACTTAAATGAAAATTCGATTTGGTATGAGAGCCATCTAAATTGGGATCATGTTTTAAGGGAAAAATAACTTTATGCCCATTTAGAAGCTGATCAAGTTACTGTACTGTATAATAACGGATAAATAAAGAGGCAGCACTCTAACACGAGTTTCCGCTGGCAGGCAATGCCAGCTTCATGGTGCTGCATCATTATTACTCGTTATTAATATTACCGTACTCGCGCGAATAAGCGCCCGGGCGCTTAACATTTTTTTTTGCACTTTTTGAGGGGCGCTTATTCAAATGGGGCGCTTATTCGAACGGGGCGCTTATAAAAACAGAGTGAAAATTGAGGGGCGCTTATGGAAATAGATGAAAATCCAAGAGGCACATTTTGAATGAAAAACGATTAAATAAGGACATCAGGAAACCGCAAATTACGAATGGTGCTGCGGCGGAAAAGATAATCGTCCAGATAGCATGGCTTGTCATGACAAGAATGCTGTGAGTACAGTATTACATAACAGCAGAATAGCAGATGAAATTAGTGGCTGTCTCTTATACACATCTAGATGTGTATAAGAGACAGCATTGCAACACATTAACTTTTGTTAACCGTAGTTTTTGTTTTTATTCATAGTATAATTAATGGTTTAAATGATTGACCTACTTTGTATCTTGGTACTATTTCGATGTTGTCCTAAGCTTCTTTACAGTTAAAAGTCCTTGTTCTGCCGTTATATCGCATTCAGAAGGGCGCTTATTCAAATGGGGCGCTTAAGGAAATTTTCTTGCGCTTATTCGATAGGGGCGCTTATTCAAACGGGGCGCTTATTCGCGCGAGTACGGTATTGTTCAGACTAACATGGTTATAATGTGTTTTTGGTAATGGCTGTGTACCTACATTGCGCATATGGCCTATTTATTAGTGGAACAGTCCATATGTGCATTACTCATATTACATGGGAAATACCGTGTAAGGAGGCATAATAATATGCTAACCTACTAAGTAAGCACTTGTATATTTGGTCATTTTTATATGTGTTCTTTTTCAGAAGAAAGACGATTAGACGAGAAAGAAAATGGAGTCTTTGACGAAGATGATCACCAGTCTAGTCTGCTCCTCAGTCCTGTCAAACTTACGCACCCGTGTTCTACCTCATCCAAGTCTCCATACACTAAAGAAAAGTCGGTATCAAGTCATTCTGAGCGTGTCCCTGAAGACGTAGTACCACCTTATCGTCCAGGCCGATTGTCCCCTTTAGAGATTCTGATGAGGTTGTTTCCAGCACAAAGAAAAACAGTCCTGGAACTTGTCTTGCAAGGCTGCAATGGTGATCTTGTAAAAGCTATTGAACATTTTCTAGCGGCGACAGACACAACGACTACATGCCAGGAAGGGACACAGCGTCACAGCAAGTTTAGCCTGCAGTCACCACTATCTTACCCGGGTTTGCACGGCTTCCAACCAGCTACATCTGATGGTAAATACGTTAATGAACATTTCAAATCGGCGTTCACACCACTACCACCGTCTGGTACACCGGGTTCTAATCTTCCGTTTGTACTGGCACCTCGAGGCCCGCATCACCATCCTCTTTCAACCGACACCCTATTGGGTCGAACGTCATTTTTCATGCCTGGAGCTCCAGGCGATTTGACAACTGCCGCCGCTGCAAGTAGGCTTGGTTTACCTACTTTTTACCAAACTACCTTTTCAAGCAAATTGCCTAGTACCCCCGACGGTTACCCCCGGCTTATTTTTGCTCCTTATTCCTCATGTCCACCTGAATGTCTACAGTGCCCACGACCTGGTCGTTTGGCAACAGGTTCGCCTGACGCCTCTAAATCCCCATCAAATTTATCAGAAAATGGGCCTGTGGTAAACAGCACGGCAGACAAGGAATAAACAGAGACGATCGATACTAGTCAAAGGTGCGATAGTACGATTGATGCATACACTATTATCACCCTCAAATTGCAATTAATGTACCAATTGTTGATTTGTTGTTGTAAGATATTATTATTAGAAATATGTAATAATGTGAAATGTCATGGCTTATGTCACGTTTATCCCAACACTAAACGTATCGTATGTCGATAATAACTATAATTAGTTTACGATGGACTTGCAAAATTATGAATTGTTTCACACAATTTTAATCGTTATTGTCACTGAAAACACAATTTGTGCGACGTCTTTATTTTTAGGTATATATTACCGGTTTGTATTTTTGGATGAATGGACATGAATGTAAGCAATACTTCCAATTGATACTTATTGGTAGTTAAGATATAACAGGCTAAACATTCATAATAGTAAAACAATTAAATAACTTTTCATATATTTTTTTTATATTATTTATGACACTTCATCGCAATTCAGAGTTTGTTGTTAATCTTCTTTGCCATATAAATATGATAGTAACTTTGGTGTGGAGATACACCTTCACTGGTGGTAAATAAAGATAATACATTTTTTTAGAAAAACATATCCCGGGTGAGATGTGAAGACCTTCCAATCGTAACCGATACTCTACCAACTGAAATATGAGGCTAAGTGGTATATACCTTTGAATTTTCCCCATTCGGAAACGTGTGTTTGTGGGGAGGGGTGGGGTACG